AATACAAAATGTCAAAACTAGGCCCTCCCTGGTGGCGCAGCGGGTTAAAGCACTGCACTGAGAAACTAAAGCCACTTCCTCATGAGTTCGATCCCCGCCTGCCCTGGAGGTGACCACATGGCGTGGCAGACCTCTCCTGACCCGCCCGCTGCTCCCCTCAGCAGTGTACTTCGTTGATCTGCCTATTCTGCTCCCCACTCTGTCTCTGGTGAATCCTCTCACCCTCCGCATCTCTGGCCTGTACCCCAGTTCTGTATGAATAAATAAATAAAAATCTTTAAAATTAAAAAAAAAAATGTCAAAACTAGAACCAAATATATCAATCCATGTGATTAAGATATTATTCATATGGATATTTTTGTTACAAATAAAACATGTTTAATATAACAGAGTACAATGCCTACAAGGCTAATCTCCCAGAAAACAACTATAAAGTCAAGAAAAAATACAAAAAATAATTATTGGACAGCACTGAAGAGTAAAAAAGTAGTAAACTTATGGTTGGAAATTGCTTTAATTAATTTTTCTGTTACTAAAGTACAACCATGCCCCATCTGCCAGTGTTTTGACAGAAAAGGTCTACCCTCAGGTGTAGTCACTGCAAAGTTACTACACCAAAGTTAGTCATGAAGTGCTTTGCCTGTTTTCTTTTACATATTTTATGACTTCAAGTCTTACATCCATATCTTTTGTCAATTTTGAGTTGATTTTTGTGGGTGATGTGATAGAGTGGTCTAGTTTCATTCTTCTGTACACAGCAGCCCAGTCTTCCCAACACCATTTATTAAAGAGACACTCCATGATCCAGTGTATAGTCTTTGCACCTTTGTCATAAATTCGGTGTCCATATCAGTATGGATAAGTATAGGTTAAATTCTTTTTCTCAGTTCTATTCCACTGGCCTGTCTGTATATCTGTTTCTATTCCTGTAACATGCTGTTTTAATTATTACTATTTTATAGAATAGTTTGAAGGCTGGATGTGTAGTGCTACAATTATTCTTCTTTTTTGTTAGGATAGCTAGGATTGTACTAAATCTCTAAATTGGATGGCCATTTTATAATATTAATTCTCCAAATCCATGAGCAGGAATATCTTTCCATTTCTTTGCATCTTCAACTATTTCTTTTAATAATATCTTATGGTTTTCCTTCTATAGGTCTTTTACTTCCTTGTTATGTTTATTCCTAAGTATTTAACTGGGGGAGGAGAAGCTGTGAGTATAAATAGGGTGGGTTTTTTTTTTTTTTGAGATCTATTTATGTGTACAGAACTGGGGTACAGGCTAGAGGTGCAGGGGCAGTGAGAGGCTTCACCAGAGACAGAGTGGGGAGCAGAACAGGCATATGGACGTAGTACATTGCTGAGGGGAGCAGCAGGCGAGAACAGGAGAGGTCTGCTGTGCCATGTAGATCACCTCCTGGGCCAGACAGAAGCTGAAGCAGCTGAGGCTAGCTTATAGTGCTGTATCCTAACCCATTTTGCCACCAGGGAGGGCCAGTAGGGTGGTTTTCTTAATTCCTTCCACTTCTAGCTCATTGTTAACATATGAAGGCAACAAATTTTTTGTGTACTGATTTAGCAAGCTGCCACCGTGCTGAACTAGTTTATTGTTTTAATTAGCTGTGGTGTGGATTTTTTACGGTTCCCTATGAATATTATCATGTCATCTGCAAACAGTGATTGCTTACTTATTCCTTTCCAGTTTTCCTTCTATAGCTTTTTTCTTGCCTACTCAGGTAGGGCTTCCAATACTATGTTGAATAGTAGCAGTGAAAGTGGACATCTTTGTCTTATACTGGATGTTAGTGGAAAGGCTTTCAGTTTTTCTCCCCAAGAATGATCTTAACTGTGGGTTTGTCATATATGGCTTTTATTATGTTAAGGCATGATCCACTTACCACCAGTATTTTGAGGGTATTCATCATAAATGTATGTTGAATCTTATCAGCTTTCTTGGCATTAATTGATATAAGGTTTTTATCCTTTTTTTTTTTTTTTTTTTTTTTTTGCTAATGTGGTGAACTGCATGGATTTTTTTATGTTGAACCACTCTTTTGCTTCTCTAGTATAAACTCCCCCAGTAAACAAAAATCCAGAACAGATGACTCCACAAAGGAGTTTTTATCATTGTGTCCATTTCCTTGCTTGTGATTAGTTTGTCCAGGTTGTCTATTTCTTCCCTATTTAGTCCTGGATAATTTTATATCTCTAAGAATTTGTCAATCTAATCTAGGTTGTTGAACAGGTTTGCATGAAAATGTTCATGGCAATCTCTTATTGTCCTCTGGGTTTCTGCAATGTCGTAGCTTCCTTCATTTTTTATCCATTTGAGTTTTCTCCCTTTTTTTCTTGGTAAGCTTAGCTTGAAGTCCATCTATTTTATTTTTTCAATCAGCTTTTGGTTTCATTGATCTTTGGAGTGTCTTTTTGATTTCTATTTCATTCATTTCTGCTCTTTTAAGATTTCCTTTTCACTTGCTTTCAGGTTTTTTAACTAGTCTTTTTCTAGTTTATGGTAAAAAGGTGATTCTCAAAAAAAGAGAATAGAACAGGGTGGTTTCCTATCTTTTAAAATGACTATTAGACTCAGGACAGACCATAGGTGATATAGCACAGGGCAGCTGAAATTCTGCTCAAAACCCAAAGGTTTTCTAGCCTGATGAACCTTAATAGAGTCTGGGGCAACCACAGGTGCTGAATGTATAGGCTTAATCTCAAAAAGGTTGAGATGGAGGAGAGAAACGAAGCTGTGTTCAAGTCTCTTGAAGCCCTTGAAACAATGCACTGCTTGGCTGCAAGCACCACAGCCAAGAAAAAAGAACTGAACTATACAAAGTACAGTTTGCAATTTGTGCCCAACTAAATTGACTGCCTATAATTAAAGACAAAAGCAGGGCTCTCCCTGGTGGTGCAAGGGGCAGCACTATGAGGCTATCCGCAGCCACTACAGCATGAGTTGGATGCCCGGCCAGGGAGCTGACCCACATGCAGACAGCTCCTGTGTTGGCCACTGCTCCCCTTATCAGTGTATTTCAGTCAATCTGCCTGTTCTGCTCCCTGTTATGTCTCTGGTGGGTCCTCTCACCCCCATTCTCTGGCCTGTACCCCAGTTCTTGTGTGCATAAATAAAGAAATCTTAAAAAAAAAAAAAAAGCAGGCTGCCCACTTCAAGGTGTTGATGTAGCAATATTGAGAATTCAACTCCTCCCACAGAGACATAGAATTTATGGCTAGAAGTGAAATCATTCTCTCAGAAAGAAATCTAGAACCTAGCTGAGCCACACTGGGTGACTGGAAAACATGCACACACACACACACACACACATTGAAAAGGGTAGGAAAAGCTGACATATAATGGCACCACAAATCCACCCACCAAAATAGGAGGGAACCCACCACTCCCAACTTCTTTTTGAAGATCTGACACCAGTCTAGCACTGGAACTTGTAAAACACCTCAGACATTGGGCCTCAAAACATCTAGCCTTGAAGGTCAAATGAAGGGTCTGTGAATCCAAAAGACAATAGCCAATTAAGAAATAGTTTTAAAAAAGACTTCATGGATTCAGCATAGCTAACCTCCTGGAGCCTAGCAGAGCCAACAGAACCAGCCTTTTCCTGAAAGTGGGCTATTTGCTTCTCTTAATGCTATAGCCCACTTCTGGTCTGCAGCCCAGAGGTTGCCCAGTGGCTGTCAGCTGCATAACTAGCTCTGGGGCCAGCAAGGCCTGTGCTCACAGGTTCAACAGGATAATATAAAAAAATAAACAATGTTCAAATGGCTTCACCCCACAGCTCAGGGCAGAGGAAGCAAGCAGAAACAGCCATCTTTCATAGGAATGGGATCTATTTTCATACTTTAAAAATTACCTACGGGTTGGGCCCTCCCTGGTAGTGCAGCAGGTTAAAGCAAAGCACTAAGAAGCTAAAGCCACTTCAGCATGAGCTCGATATGCTGCTCGGGAGATGACCCACATGGCACAGCAGACCTCTCCTGATCCACTTGCTGCTCCTCTCAGCAGTGTACTTTGTCAGTCAGCCTGTTCTGCTCCCCACTCTGTCTTTGGTGAATCCTCTCACTGCCCCTGCACCTCTGGCCTGTACCCCAGTTCTGTATGAACAAATAAATCTTTAGGAAAAAAAAAAACTACCTAAGGGTTAAGCTTCCAATTAGCCCACATCTAGGAGCTGAGTTCCTCTCCCTGAGACATTAATAGATCTTGGAATACCTTCAACTACTGGAAACAACTAAAGGCAAATAAAGTTGTTTGCATAGTCACAAAGTTTGAAATCACCAAGAACTAAGGCAGAATAGCCATAAGGTTCATCTCCAAAGCAAGACTATTCACTCAAAACTGGAAGAGATAGCCTAATGCACAGAAAATAACATAGAGAATCGAGAAAAATAGGAATTTGTTCTAAACAACAGTAATCAAAATTAAAACATCAGAAAAAAACAATAAAAAATGGATATAAAAAGATGCACAGATAGATATAGAAAGATCAAAGAACAATGCATGAACATGGGAATTTCATTTAAAAACAATAGAAAATGTAAGCATAATCAGAAACCATAGAACTGAAAATTATAAAACTGAACGGGAAAATTCAGCAAGGGGGTTATATAGAAAATTAAATAAAGCAGAAGAAAAAAGTTCAGCAAACTCAGAAGATAAGAAAGTGTATGAAATCATAATGATGAATAAATATTATTATACACATGTCTAAACCCAGCGAATACACAACATCATGTGTCAATTTAGATTTATGCTTGGCAAAACAGTATCATTCTGGTAAGTGATTCTGTGCGAGGGAAGGGAATTTATGAGAAATCATTGAATCTTCTTATCAATTTTATTGTAAAAATGAAACTGCTCTAAAATGACATTTTTTAAATTTAAAAAAAAACTGAATTTCCATTAAGTTTCTCTAAAATAATGACAATAAAGTAGATCCCAGAAGGCAGCAGAGGGAAACATGGTTAGGTGAGAAACTTACTCTGGGTTTTGCAATCTCCTTGATCCTCTTGATTTCCTCATCTGACAAGACATCATAGTACCTGACAATGTGTGGGGTATCCCATTCGTCCTCCTCTTTGAAAGGGGCAATGAGTAGCTGTGGTGTCTTATTGCCATGGTGGTATCTACAAAAAAGCCTCTTCCGCTTCTGTGGTATCTGGGGAGCAGAAAGGAACAAGCCTTAATCAAATACTGGGTGCAGACATTGGCCTCAATTTTTAAACCCACTTAACTTCTCCCCTCAGAAAGAATACAAACTGCCATGTCCTGGTCAACAAAAGCAACAACACACAAATGATTCAATGTCTTCTGCTCTCTCAGAAACATCTCCTCATGCAAAGCCCTAAAGAGAAGTCACCCTTGCACTGTGACATGCATCACAGTGATAATTCATCTTACATGGGCCTTTTCCTTCCATCCATCTTTCTATAATGTCCAGGAGTGATTGGATCACTCCTAATTGAACAATTAAGCAGTTGCTGTTCTCTGTAGCCTTCCTACTTATAATGTACCACTAGCATTGGCTGGGAGATTGTTAGAATCTTGGGCTGTACCCCAGTGAATCAGAATCTATATTTTATCACCCCCCAGATGATTCCTATGCATGTCAAAGTTTGAGAAGCATTGCTGAAGAAAGGGAAGCCCAAGGTCTATATCATGAATCACCTAGTCCTCCAGGATATAAGCCTGAATATATTAAAATCTGATACACAGTAGCTTCTGTCATCAAATTTCAGATTTCACTAACATAAAAAAGTGCTTGCTGTTCTCAAAACACAGTATAATTTTTCTTACTATACATTTTGCATTCTGTGAAGACTCAATCTTAGGCTTTTTTTTTTTTTAAGATTTATTTATTTAGCATTGAGAACTGGGGTATAGGCCAGAGGTGCAGGGCAGGTGCAGGGGTGAGAGGATTCACCGGAGTCAAGAATGTCGAGCAGAACAGGCAGACTGACAAAGTACACTGCCACGGGAAGTATTGGGCAAGAGGAGAGATCTGAGTGTCATGTGGAGCACCTCTCTAGCCAGGGATGGAACACACACTGAAGTATCTGCAGCTAGCTTTGCAGTGTTGCACTTTAACCTGCTGCACCACCATGGAGGGCCCCTAAAGTTTTTCTTAATATACAGTCACATGGTAGTCTAGGCCAAGAATTCTTGGAAGAAAATTCCAAAATTAGAATTCCTAAATTAGAATTTACAACATCTTCATGTTACCACCAAACTGTTAAATTCTGACATGTTTTTAATTTTCCTCTTAGGCTACATTCTTCTAGTGCAGGATAGGGTCATATATTCATCTTATACATGTGCCACTATTACTGATACAAAAACATAGTGGGTGCAAAACATTAATGCTACCTATGCCAAAATACAGGCAAAAAGTATTTTTCCAAAGACAGTAACAAACTTTTTTAAGTTTCATAAAGTAGTTCACAAAAAAAGATTTAAAGAACTGAAAAATGGCTTAATTCTTTTCCATAGAAACATAATACATAATTGCTAAGTAAATAATATAGTTATGTTTAGTCATCCATATATATATATATATATATATATA